AAGGACTGCATTTTGATGAAGCACACATGAAATACATTCGTATGAATTTTATATATGGGTTGATGTATTTTTGAATGCCATGGCAAATGCAATAAAAAAACTCTAAGTAGAGCAAATATCTAAGATCCAATTTCTCCATATCTGATATAAATTAAGGTACAAAATGAATTATAATGTACAATGTACATTAACCCCAAATCAGATTTTAGAATAACATAAACCATTCATTCTTAAAATGTTTGGGGGGTTTCTAATTGTGTTTGTGGACAGGATATCATGTCTGCATCTTGTACTATGAATAACCACTAAGAAGACAACAATATGCAATGTGTTAATTATTGAAACTGTCCTACTAAGCGGTTTTGAAACTGTCTCATTGCTATTTGTTTCCCAATAAAATTATTTTTAAAAAAATGTTTGGGGGTTAACATCACTTTGAAGGTCTGATGAAAGCGATGAAAATCTAAACAATTCTCCCAAATCTTAGCGAGAATTTGTGGGAATACAAATAAATTTATAGCCACCTTTTAACACTTATTCAGTCATTCACTATTATAGGCCCAAGACAGAAATTCTTGGACTAGAGTGACTTCTGTAACTAGAAACTTCATACAGTTCTTGAAAAATCCCTTTTTCTTAGTCAGCAGCCTGCCAGCGCCTGGATAAAAGACATTGTCAGACATTTTCATCAAATGCAGAGCCATGATTTGCTGGGCAGGGTTTGCCTCTTTTCTTACGTGTATTACTGAGCTCTGAATCCAAGCCTTCACACTGAGCTACATCCCTAGCCCTTTTCCTTGAGACAGGGTCTCGCTAAATTGCCCATGCTGAGCCTGGAACTTTTAATCTTGCCTCAGCTTCCCAAAGTATCGGGATTACAAGTATGTTACCACATTGACATCATTTTTTTTTGTATTTTAGGGAAGGTCTACAGGGTGTTTAGGGTCTCACTACTAGATCAGACACGTAGTGATCCACCTGTTTACACCCTCCCAAGAGCTGGGATTACAGGCACACCACCACAGGCAGTCCAATCCCCATCTCAGTGCACCCCAGGGGAGGGGCCAGCATGGCAGGCCTGGGGCTCAAACCCCTGGCCCTACACCTACTTGCAGGCTCTTTAATCCGCTGAACTATTTGGCTGGCCCTGTCATCTCCTTTCTTGAAAACTGATGTTCATGAAGATACATATCTCAAATGGACATCATGTGAGTTGGGACCAAATGGAGTGCTTGTATAAAGCCAGAATTTTCTTCCGAGAGTAATTTGAATACATTCTCAATACAAAGATGGGCAACCAGAAATCTCATGCCATAAACTATGAATGAAAACATTTTAGCCCAGACGATACTTTAGGTATACCTTCACCATTAAATAAATCCAACTTATTTTAGCATCTAGTACATAAAATACATTGTTTGAGCAGTGTACATTCTGAAAAGGTGACACGCTACTTATCCACTGTTCACTGATCTGTACACCAATCCCAGACAGCCTCTATGTAGGTCATGAGTACATGCCCGTCCTGTGACTTTAAGCTTGGTTAAGTGCCTTGTTTTAGTGTGGTTAAGTAGCTATAAAAAGAACAAAGCCTTGACTGTGTGTAACAGGGCTTAAGCTCTAGGATTTCTGCCCTTTGTCAAGAAAAGAGTATCTCTGACAGCTGGTGGTCCACAGAAGGGGAGTACCATGGGCATCATATCTGGAGAAACAGCTCAGAACCAAGCCCTTGCTGGCTCAACCTCAGCAGCCTAAACCCTAACCCATACGTGAGCGCGAAATAAAGGCTGAGGTTTCTACGAGTCTCTGGGATGATTTCTTCTGTAACATTACTATGGGAATTACTAACAGATACAGTATTTACAAAGCAGCAAAAGGCAAGGATCAATAAGGCTGTGTGTGCACTAATGACTACACATCATTGGGGGACTTACATATAAACTACGTCATTTTTTCCACCTTGAAAGATAAAATAGCATAGCAGGAATTCGTATTTACTTCGACTATGCTACTTGACAGTTTTTCTATGCTTACAAATGATTGTTTACTATGTTTACTATGACTGTTTTCCCATCTATAAAGGTACCATCTAAAACTGTTTTTCCACTTAACAGATTTATGTTCTAATAGCTCCTCAGTGCTGTACCAAGCCCAGGGAAAGAGGTGTGGCAATTCCTGGTGGGCACGCATCTCTGAAACCATTCAGAGTTGCTCTTGCACGATAATAGAAAGGAGACAGCTCAGCAGCGTAAGCACCTGTCTGGCAAGCTCAAGGGCCTGGGAGGGAAGGCCTGCCCCTTAGCTCAGTTCTTTAAAGTGGTTGCTTCAACAAAGCAGTCAGGCTCTGGTTGCTGTGGTTCGATTCCCAGAACTCAAGCCAGCCAAACCTGCCCTGAAGGCTTCGGAAAAAAAAAAAAAAAAAAAAATCCTTCTGAATCCCCGGGACCAAAAAAAAGGAGACTGTGTTTTAACTGGTTTGCTACTAATTTTTAATTCTCTCTATACGATCTATACGATGTCTCTCATTGCCTAGACCTGGGATGTGATGCTCCCACTACACGACCCCTGCAGTGAGCTACAAAACTATTCAATATTGCTTAGAATGAAAATTTCAAAAATGGAATTCTCAAAAATAATTTACATAAAACACTTGTGAAATGTAAGTAGTACTTGAAAATCATTCGTTTACCTTAACATTACAAGCTTTATGAAAGTTAATGACAGCTGGGCCTAATATACGCCTGTAATCTTAGCACTCCAGAAAGCTGAAGCAGGAGGATTACAAATTCAACCCCAGCTTGGGCAGCTTAATGAGACCCTGGAGGAAAATAAAATAAGGTATGAGAGCTTATTCCACAGGATTTGGGATGCGTTAAGGTCTCTGCTGTTGCTAGCAGCATGGTCTATCTTGAATGAAAAAACTCCCAGGTGGATAAAGGTTAAAGCAACCCTTTTTACATACTGACTTTATAGCCACGCGTCTTGGTGAATGCTGTTATTATCATGTATCAATTCACTTGGTTTTGTCACCTCAACAGTCATACAATCTAGTAACAACTGTTTTTCTTATTCTCTTTTCAAAGTGTTTTAAGCTATTGTTTTTCTTATTTTGACCAAAACTTTCAGAAAAAGCTGACTAGGACTTACAGGAACCTGCAGGTCTTGTTTCTGAGTTTCTGTAGTTATACCCTTCAGTATCTTTCTTGCTGAGGATTTTGGTAAAGGTGGAGTCTATTCATAGCTTGAAAAGTTCTATATTTAAAAAATCACCAATAAATACTTTTTGAAAAACAAAAATAAAATAGAACAAGGGCTGAGGATAATAGCTCTACGTGAAGTCTCCAGGTTCAATCTCCAGTACACTTCCCAAAAAGTGGAACACAGTGGTAAACGTATATAATCTAATTGGCACGGAAACAGAAAATTATCTCAATTGTACAGTCATTCAACTGAGCTCCAACTTATTTAGCCCTTAAATACATTACAAAACACTTGAATGTTTAGCCTTAAAATTCTATTTTCAATATACTCCTTCTCTACTCACTTGTCTGATTTTAGAGACATAAATAACCAGTTTGGTTTCACCGAGGGCCAGCAAAAGAGAATACTGATGAGTACTCCTGAATTTCTTTGACAATCAATTAATATAGGTAATAAAGACCACAAGAATAATTTAAGTCTAATTCACTATCAACATTTGCATAATTCAGTAGGGTTTTAATTGCTCAAAATAAGTTATATTTTAATACTGTACAACTTTTTTTTTTTTTTTTTTTTTTTTTTGTGGAACAGGGGATTGAACTCAGGACCTTGCACTTCCCAGGCAAGCGATTATTCTACTGAAATCTATGTCCCCAGCCCCTACACAAAATTTTAAAATCAAAAGAAAAAAGCAACTCGCTAACTTTAATAATTCTGAAGTTCTAAAACCATAAATCTTTCAACTTAAGAATACTCAGGACCACATTAATTAGAAGAGGTACCTAAGATGAAATTCTTTAAATATGGACTTTGTCTTATATAGGAAATGTACTTTGTTGCATATTGTGGAGGACCACCTGAGCAGCTCTCCCTGAAAGAAGAGTGACTGTCTCCATTTTGACCGAGCCTGGCCCTATTTCCTCGGATCGTTATGTACAGAGCTGGCTAGGACTTCTGTTTATGCTTCAATTGGCCTTAAGCAATGTGTATTGGTCTAGCTGACGTGCTGGCGATAGTCTCTGAAGGTGGCGTGCGTGTTTCCCTGGTAACCTACACCTGCTGCTCTTTAATGTGAGCCGGGTGGAGACAGGACAGACAGGACAGTAGAGCTAATGCTCTGAGCCACCAGCTGGGATCGAGCCCGGAGACAGAGGCTATGACTTCCTGGGGCTTGAAAGACTACATCACAGCTGAAGCACCAGACACCCAAAACATTGGATGCTATCTCTATGGCATAATAGTATAATGCAGATTGCTCTCTCTGCATGTCCTCTCTGCATATCGCAGAGGTAAATGCAGGCACCCACCCAGCTCAGCTCACAATGGTCACCTACTTCCCACAATTCTCAGTCAATCTTCCTCAAGCCACTCCCCCACTGAATAAAAACCGGGTGAGGCCCTGGGCCGCTCTTCTGGTTCCGGAAAGCCATCTTCATGGCTGGACTTAGAGCCCCCGGGCTCCCCGATGATTAAAAATATAATTTAGTGTCTTTATCTTCACTGTGGGTTGCACTGAAAAGTGGTAGATTGGAATCAACTTGATGGGATTCCAATAACGTAACTTTGGGATTACAAACATTGGCTTCTTGGACCGAGACGAGGACCTGGAGGTGACTCCTATGACATGTAACACATATTACATCATGAATATATTATTGCTGACTTTGTTGTACCTAATAAACTCCAAGCCATAAGTATAAGTAAAACTAGCAATACAATGAACCCAAATGAGTATTACAAGCATATTCTGAAAGTCTTTGATTAAACCAAGTACTCTTACTTTTAAAAACCTTACATACCTGATGTTCCAAAAACAACATCCCAAGGGGAGCTAATAGGCTGCTCTTCTCCTTTTGCTCCTCCTTCTTTATCTGTGCCTTGAACTCCAACGCCAGCTACAGTGCTCACCTTCTCAGCTTCTAGGTCAATCTATAAAAATTTAATTGATGTATTATACAATGGGTGTCTTTTCTTTCCCTGTAGTTTGTGAAGATTTCCAATAGAACTTACAGATAGTATTTGCCACAAGTGTTTTTTAAAAGGCTAATTCATAGAGACCCCATAATGCAAGTGCGCCTCATCAGTCCCTTTCCTCTGTCCACCCACCTATTCCTCTTATCCCCCCCCCCCACTCCCACCGTGCCTACACAGGAACCAGAACTGGCCTTATCTTAACTATAAAATATTTTAAAAGAAAGTGAAATTTACAAACACAACTTAGCAAAATGCATGTTTCTTAAAATTAAATGTTATCTTAGTTAGACTCAGCTAGTAATTAACATAAAGAACTCAACAAGCGCTCAGCACAGCTCAAGGGTAAGCCAGACAACAGCCACCCCACACTAACCAACAACTATGATCTTGATTATTTTAGGGGTAATAGACACAGACTGTTAAGTAATCTCCCCAAGATCCCACAGCTAGGACTTGGGATCTGGAACTGGAATCCAGGAAATTCTATATCGCTACATTAACCCTACTTCATAAACTGAGAAACTACTCTAATATATTTTACTGCAAAAGGATGCTCTGCTTTCATCTCTTTAGACTGGCTTCCCAACATTTTACCAGGAAAGTTTACCATATACAAAAAAACTAAAAGGAGTTTGCAGCAATCACCCACGTACCCACTGCCTGGCTCAAGTCTACTATTAACATTTCGCTTAGTTGCTATAGCACATATTTTATCCACCTATCAATTTTTAATGCAGTTCAAAGTAAATTGCAAATATTCGTATCACTGGCATTAAAAGATCAGCATACCATTATTTCGTCTGTCTTTTTGGTTTTTTCCTTGTTATGTTACCCAGGTTGACATGAACTCCTGGGCTCAGGTCATGCTCCTGCCCAGCCACCCTGTAAGGGCACCCCAGGCACAAACCATCACGCCTTGACTTGCATTTTCTTCTTATCTCGGGATGTTGGGCACTTTCATGTTTGTGGCCATTCTTGTAAATTTCTTAAGAAAAGTCTGTTCAAATCTTTGGCTTTTTTTTTATTGGACTACTTTTCAGTTGTTACAGTCTTTATAGATCATAGAAAGTAATCCCTTAAGAGATGTTTTGTAGACTTTTGCTAATATTTCCAAAAGCGTATGGTCTGTTTTTTTTCCTTTTCCTAACAGTTAATTTTAACAATCATATTTTACATTTTTTGAAAGCCTAATTCATCATTTTTCTTTTAGGATTATAGTTTGTTGTGTAAACTCTGCCTACTTGCAAATCGCAGAGGTATGCACAGCCATCCTATGGAGGTACGAAGATGCTTCTCACTGTGGTTTCGATATGTAATTCCCTGATTACCAAAGATGCCGAGCATCTTTCCTTACACTTGAGCCTTCTCTATTAACTTCAAGAAGTATTTTCTAAAAGCTTTGTTTTTACTTTTACATTACGGTTTGTGACATGTCTTGATGTTCCTGTGTAATTTGATATTTATTTCAAATATTGGTTGCTGAAATTGTTTTCCTTCTGTAGTTGGGGCTTTTGATGCTTTTAGAAAAGCAAATGAACCTTATAGGAATGGGGCTATTTAAGGCTCCTCACTGTTTCCTATTCATCTGAATCTATCCTTGTAATAATACCACATTGTCTTGATTAACGGAGCAACATGGGAAGGTTTCAAATCAAAAAATGTATGTCTTTTATCTTTGTTATTTTCCAAGGTTATTCTAAATATTATAAATACATTGTTTTGTATTTCTATGTACATTTTAGATCCACTTAAAAATATCTTTTAGAAGAAAGCCTGAGAGTTTTGATTGGGATTCTCCTGGATTTCAATTTGGAGAGAACTGACAACTTAATATTGAGCCTTCAATAGTTAATTCTATTCAATATCTCCATATTAATATCTAATACAACTATTTTTTCTCAACAATACTTTGTAATCTGAAGCACCTCAGTATTCATGGGGCATTGGTTCTGTCCAGGACAGTCTAATGGGACATGAACAGTGGTATCTTATTTAAGTTCTTATATAAAATGATGTAATATTTACATATAACCTATATCCATCCTATTGTACTTTAAATCAGGACTAGACTATTTACACCTAATACAATGCAAATCTAGATGTCACAGTTGCTGCAATATTTTATGATCCACGGATATACAACTGACAGGCAGAAAGGGCAGACTATATACAGGTCTTGCATATATATTACAAAATTTGTTCTAAGAAGTATGTTTTTGTTACTGTAGATAGAATTTTTACATTACAAATTCTAACTGATTATTGCTAGTGCACAGTTGTCATGATGTGCCAGGCAGGCACTTAAGACTGCTCAGCCTGTGTCTAGATGCCCCCCAAAGCGTCATGCAGTCACGGGGGCGGGGGCTTTTCAGAGGTGGCTGCACCTAGAGTATGTGACTGATTCGAGGTCCAACGTTGGATAAGGGTGAGCACTAGGGCAGCCAGCCTGCACAGAATGTAAGGAGGAGAGTCGTCTTTCCCTGCGCGTTGCTTCTGCCGTCTCCTGCCCATGAACTTTTTCTGCTCTGTGCTAACCCTCAGCCAAACCACCCTGCCTTGGAGCCGGCCAATGATGGACTGAAACTTCTTCCAATGTGAGCTAAACAGCCCTTGTCCCCTTCATTCTGGGTGGTGGCTACTCTGTCTCAGCAATAAGAGAAAGGTAACCAAGACAGTCATCTTTACCGATGGGCAAAATCCACATGGAAGCAGCTACATACGACACATTACCAGCAAATGAAGACAATCATTCCTTCTTTTTTTAACCTATACAACTTTTATTTTAAATTTTTAAAAATCTTTTATTTATATATTTGTCACAGGGTTGCAATATGCAGCTCTGACTTATAGTGATCCTTCTGTTTCAGCCTCCTCCCTAGGGCTAGGATTACAGGCGTGCGCCACCACGCCAGGCTTCGATGGCTGGCACAGCTGGCCCTGGGTTTGGAGTCAGCAAGGCATGCAGTCCTGAGGATCGAGCCTGGGTCCTTGCACTTGCCAGGCAGGCACTTACACTGCTGAGCTATGTTCCCGGCCCTCTCTTTATCTTATTATAATGGCTGGGACCTCAAATACAATCGTTTCCAATATGAAAATACTCAAGTTTGCGTTAAGACCTTTTCGTAGACGCTCCTTAGCATACAGGGGAATTAACTTCCATTTCAAGGTTGCTGATTTTATCACAATAAGCAATATGTAATTTCAAATGTTTTTATACTCTAGGAAAATAATCTTAAGGTTATTAGCTTTTATTCCATAACTATACTAAATTACATTATTTTAATGATGCCTCTGTACATTATTTGTTTAGTATTTTGCTCTACAATCTGCTGAGAAAATCCATCAATTTAACCTTATCTATATTTTTACTGAACTTCATCTGTGAAAAATACAATGGGTAGCTTGGAATGAGCCTCTGAAATAGAATTTAAGAAATGCTATGTCATAGACATTGAAATGAAAATCAAAAAACTCATCTTACCAAAAGCACCAGGGCCAGTTGATATTACAAGGGAGTTCTAATAAATGTTCTAAAATCAGTAATAGCTATTAGGAAAATTAACCCAAAATAGAGGAAAAGACTGAGACTAACTGATTTGATGAGATTAGTATGACCTTGATTCTAAAACCAGATGAGAAGAGTAGTAGAAATTAGGGCCACTTAATTCATGTGCATGAATGTTAAAATATTAAATACAATTTTGAAGAACCAATCTATCTTTATTTTCCAAAAAATTAACAACCATGTAAGATTTATTTTAGGAACAAAAACACAGCTCAACCTCAGAAAATATACATTAACATAACTCACCACAAGGACAAAAGAATATGTAATTATTTTAGTATGTGTAGGAAGTACATTTAATAAAGTAATTCTTACTTTATAATAAGGAATAGGAAGAAATTTTCTTAAAAAGATGGGGCCAGGGAGATGGCTCAGTAGAATAAGTGCTTCCCTGGCAAGCGCAAGGCCCTGAGTTCAATCCCCAGTTCCGCCAAAAAAAGTAAACTAAAAAGTTATGAAAAAAAAAAGATGTGAAGGAAGAGAAAAGTGAGATAAAGGGCCTATTAAAAAGTAAAAGAGGGCCACAGAGACAGCTCAACAGACTAAACACCTGCTTAGGCAAGTGCAAGGACCCAGGTTCAATCCCCAGCACCACATGCTGTGCTGG